TCTCAAGTAATCTTAGCATGGACTAGAGTTCCTAAGCCTAGAGTTGATGCCTTTGGGATGCCTGTACAGCAGAGCAATTCCCATTGCTTTTCCCTAATCCCAGCAGGGCATGGAGTTGCTTAGCAGCGCTGCAGGAGTTGTGCAGGGTGGCAGCACCTAGTTCCCATGTGCTAATAAGTGGTCCTAAAGTCAATTAACATAAATGTTTATTTAAATACAGTCACATTTTTTTTCTCTTTCAGACTATCCCATTCAGTGTTCTGTTATTGAGCATTATCTTAAGCATTGGGGTAGTTTATCAGTCAGGAAGAGCTAGACTGTTGCAGAAACAAATAACCCTCAAATCTTAGTGGCTTATTTCCTGCTTGTGTTCTTTGCTTATTATGGGTCAGCTGGGATCCCTGCCCCATCTCTCCCTTAGAGCCCAGCCTGGGGGTTCCTTACCGTCTGGAGCATTAGGAGGTGCACGGCAGGGGTAAGAAAGGGAGCACAGCCCATGCTGGCTTCTACAGCTTCCTTCCTGAAGTGGTAGACGTAACTTTCTCTCAAATTTCTCTGGCCAAATAAAGTCTCATTGCCATGCCTGCTTCAGAGTAGCAGGGAAGTGCAGTCCTGCCATGGGCCCAGAAGGGGGAACTGAAAAATTTGGCAACTAGTACCAGTGACTACCACAGGCCACAAAGACAGGAAGTTGGTTCTGGCTCCCAAGGAGTTTGCAATAAACAAACGTCCACAATGCTGTCAGTTAAGCGTTGCCGTAAATGACCTGTGAAGGACTGAGTGAGCATGGACTCTGGAGTACGAGTTCCAGAGAGGCTGCCAGAAATGGGGTAGTTGTGGAGTGGGAACACTTAGTTTTTTCAGCAGAAAAAAGGCAGAAGAACATTCCAGCCTGAAAGGATACTGGGCACAATGGCATGAACATATGAAATGACATAATGTACCGGGAGAATTTGGGTGATTTTGTATCGCTGGCACATCAACAAGTTTCACCATTTGAGGTTGAGAAGGAGGTGAGCGGGAGCCCTGTTCAAGTCCACAGTCCTACGTGAATAATATGAGGGGGGCTTGTGCTAGACACTGCGGGGGGCGGGCAGGGGGTGCAAGAGGCATGGAAAGTCCCTTTGCTGTAGTTGAAATTTACATGGGGAAACTAGAAATGTACATGAATTATAAAAAGAACATCCAAAGTAGTTTTGTAGGGACATGAGGGGCTGTGGAGCAGGTAAAAGATCACTTTTGTTGAAGAGATAATGGAGAAGGCTTCATGGGACCTGGAAGCATTTTGAAAGCAGAGCTGATGGATCAGGATGCTTTGTTTAAAATGAAGTGTGAGCCAAGGCACAGAAGTGGAAACATTGAGGGTGTTTTTGAAGGAGCCACAGATAGCCAGTTTCATGTCTTTCATCAGCACCCATGAGCTCCACCTCAGCATGAGGAGCCACAGGGTGGTGGGTTGGTCTAGGTATGGAAAACATGAGGGCCCAGAGCGTACTCTCAGAGGAAGTGTTTAGGCTGGGTTCTGTAGAGAAACAAAACCAGGGAAGCGTATAAATTATATAGAGAGATTTCTGTCAAGGAAATGGCTCATGCGGTTGTAGGGGCTAGAACATCCCAGGTCCGTGGTTCGAGATAGAGGCTTCTCCTGTTACACATAGCAGCAGGGGCTGGTGAACCCAAGATCGGCCAGTCAGAGACCAGGGCTGTTGCTCACAGGCTTGTGAAGACTGATGAATTACGAGGTCGACAGGCAAGGCTGCAGGTAAGCTGCTAGCTCAAGTCCCAACAACCGGAGGTCAGATGAACAGGAGCCAGCTGCAGGATCCAGAGTGAGCAAAAGCTCCTGAGCCTTGCCAGAATGTCCACTTATATTCAGTGCAGGCCACACGCACAAGGAAACTCCCTTTCAAATGATTGGCTGCTCACAGCAGGTCTCATCATGGAGGTGATCACATTATATCAAATCTCATCGTGGAAATGATGACACATTGTACAACTGCCAAACTACATCATAACTACCAAACCACTGAGACTGGTGGCCCAGCCAAGTTGACGCACAACCTCAACCATCACAGGAAGGCTAGCAGGGGCAGCAAGGGCTGGGTTTCTGACCAACCAGAGACACTAGATTTTGGGTTCAGCTACTGCTTCTGCAGCTTTCCTAGCATTTTGTTTTTGATTAAGTTATTTAGCCTCCCAGAATCTGTTTCCCCATCTAGAATTGCTGCCGCTGAGACCCCTCTTCTGCCTGTTAGCCCCATCACTGTGTTTCTCCTCCTTTTTGGTAGTTGTGTCGTGTGTATAACCCTGTTATATGTTCACATTTAGATTTGAAAAAGGGTTTTTGAACTCTTAAAAGGCTGAAATAATCATGACTTAATTCTTTAATGTGATGAAAGAGAGTGAGGAGAAATACTATGATACGAAGCCAATTTATATTTGATATTTGTCTCTTCAAAGCAGAGGGGACCACGTTGTCTACTACTTACTTGTCTTCTTTCATCATGCCTAGAAGAGCAGTGCTTCTCAAACTTAAATGTGTGTGGCAAATAATCTAGGGATCTTGTTAAAACGTAGATTCTGATTCAGTAGGTCTTGGTGGGATTGGGAGAGGGTAGTTTGCCTGGAAGTCTCATTTTTTAATTAGCTCCAAATAATGTTATTTATCGTTGATCCTTGGACCACACTTAGAGTAGCAAGCTGCTCCAGGTTTGTGTATTGTGGGCACACACCAGATTACTGGAGAATTTATAAGCGCTAGGCTACTAGCCAAAAGGTTGGCGGTTTGAACCCACCCAGCAGCTCCTGCATCTGCTTCTGTAAAGATTACAGAAAAAAAAAAAGCTGACTTGTCTTCTCGTCAAGTAGATTACAGAAAAGAGATTAGAAAACGCTGTGGGGCGGTTCTTCTCTGTCACCTGGAGTCTCGATGAGTCGAAATTGACTTGAGGGCCCTAACGACAGTTTCCTTTTCTAATTGCAATCCTTAAGTGCTATGTACAAAGTTACGCAAGTGTATTTGCTTTGAATTTATTTGTGATGTAATTATTAATTTAGAGTTGCTGTGATGAGGGAATATGATACATGTTTTCTCTTAGAACAGTGTCTGCTAAATTTGGTGACAGAGTTTGATGAACTGATGTTTATTGAATAACCACAGTGGAACCTGCGCTAAACGTATTTAGATACGGCCTTTCCCATGTTCTGCTTTATAAATGAGAGCTTTAATTCATCTCATAAGAACAGATATCATTTGGCCCTCATCAGTTATTTATATAAGGAGCCCTGGTGGTGCAATAGTTAAGCACTTGGCTGCTAACATAAAGGTCAGTCATTTGAACCCACCAGTGGCTCCACAGGAGAAAAGACCTGGTGATCTGCTCCCATAAAGACTACAGCCTAGGATACCCTATAGGGCAGTTCTGCTTTGTCCTCCTGTAGGATTGCTTTGAGTTGGAATCAACTCGACAGCACCTAAGAACATATATATATGTGTGTGTATATGTATATATATATATATCTCCATACGCGTAGTCTTTAGTTACTCAGGTTTTTATGAAAATTGCACTATAATTTTATCTTCTAAATTAAAATGCTTTTTCTTAATTTGCAGGTTCCATTCTTGTTATCGATCAGAGAAAACAAATACAAAAATCCCAGCTCTCTTACCTGGGGATCATGAAATATCAATAAATCCTCTACATGGTAGTAGAAGTTCTATAAGTAGATTTATACTAAATGAAGAAAACATTTGTAAGTATTTACTTCAAAGAAAATTGATTTTAAAATAGCTCACAACACTGCGTTTGTTGTATTGTGGTGCTTTCTCGTTGACAGAAACTTACCGTTCTTTTGAATTTTAGTTGTTACCCTAAGACTTTCATCTACCCAGCAACTTTACTGTGGATTGTAGATTATAGTCAAGATCAGGAAGGAAGCCGACTTGTCTTCCAGTCAAAATAGATGTCACAGAGTTAAAGATCCTTCCTTCAGTTTGATACTCTAACTCCTTTGCCTCGTTGATTCCTCTACACCTTCCAGAGTTTCTTGGATACCTGTTGATCAACCCCCTCCAAAGGAGATCTTATTCATTTCTTGACATACCCTTATCCAATCTGTACTTCTCTTTGTAGCACTTATCACAATTGTATTAATAATTTATTGTGTAATTAGCTTTACTGTGTGTCTCCCCCACAAGAATATAGGTTCCGTGAGGGAAGGACTTTGTCTTCTACACCCGGCACCTAGCACAGTGCCTTGAATGTAGCAGGAATTTACTACAGATTTGTGGATTGAATGTATAGGGCATATGCTACAAGCAGATTGGAAGCACGAAATAAACCCAGACTGACAGAGATGGAGATTTTGCTACACAACAATACCTTACAAACCCCACTAATCTTGACTCTTTTAATGGGGCAAGTAGATTTGTCAGCCCCTGACAACTGTTATGAGACTACATTATAGTGATATTGAGTCTTATAAGGATGACTTACCTTGAAGCATAGGAAAGAAAATATAATTAGCTTGGCAGTTTGTCCAGTTTTTTGGACGAGATGCATGTTTGGTTGGCCCATATCTGGGATAGCACAGATGGAAGCAAAATCACAAAGCATGCTGTCCAGGAATGTAGAGTATGTCCCATTTTCTGACAGTGCTACTTAGGGCTGTCTTTCAAGATAATGAGAGAAGAACCGTGTGTTGATTTCTATAGTTGTATGTGAGATACAAGTCAGAATATTGTTTATAATAACATAGATTATGGTAAACCCAATTTATGGTAAATTTTGAGATTTTTAAGGTATATCAGTTGGACACATGAATTTTATTTAAATCATAAACTTTGATCTCATGAAGTTTTCTTTTTGATAATACAGTAGTACATTCTCTGCAGAATATTTAAATATGCAGAGTTATAAAGAAGACAGATCAGCCATAATCCCAGCACCCAGAGAGAAATACTATTAATAAATATATTTTGTATGCATATAATATGCAGATAGGGTTCATATTACTTTGTAATTGCCGAACAGAGACATGAGACATATTTTCAAGTTATTATCTGTATCAATCTACATTATTTTTAATGGCTGTGTAGTATTCCGTTGAAGGGAGATTGCATAACTAAGTGATCTATTATTGACATTTAAGTTTTTATTTCCGGTTTTTGAATATCATAACTGACTGGCCCTAACAACTGACCTAACAGCAACCACCAGTGCTTTAATGAACGTCTTTTGTTTGTGAATTTGTTTGTGAGTTTGATGATTTACTTAGGCTAAATTCCTGGAATTGTGATTGCTAGATTAAAGATACTCCCTTTTTTAAAAAGACTCTTGGTATAGACTGTTCTTCAAAACTTTGTACCTCTTTGCTGTTCCACAAACAGCTATTAGAGTGCCTGCTTCCGCACATCTTTGCCAGTGCTGGGTATTACCCATCTCTTTTGTTTTTGCCACTCCAATCTGATAGCCGTCAAATTATGTCTCTGTTGTTCTTGCATTTCTTTTTAAAAAATTCTTTATTCTTTGTGCTTGTTCACATGTTTTGTAATTTTTCTCTTGCATTAGTCATCTTTTTCCTCAACAGTTGACAAGAGGTTTCTCTCTATTAGGTTATTGACTCTGTCATATTTGCTGCAAATATTTTTCCAAGTTTATAATATTTTTAAAAAACTTTGTGGTATTTTTCTTATCAAGATAGAATCTCTTGATATTTTTCTCTGAGTTTTTGGTTTTGCTTTCATGCTTGATTTAAATCTTTCATCCATCTGTAATTATTTTGTAGTAAAGTATGAGGACTTTAACTTAATTTTATTCCAGATTTTGAAAAACCTCCATGATTCTGTAAGAGAGCCAGTTTGTGATATCTGATTGTTGCAATAGGTACACAAAGTTCTTGTCTAGGAAGATGATAGTGTTTGAAATAATTAGAAAGGCAAATCAAGACAGACTGTAAGTAACTCAGTCCCAGTTAATACTTCATTGTTTTTTGCATATCATCTGGTTTATTGGTAGCATTTTTAACAATCAGTTGCCTGGTCATGGTTAGAATAACAGGATTAGATTAAGAAAGTTAAAAAGCAAATTAGGTGAATATAAGAGAGCAAGGTAGATGCCTCAGCGTGTGTAAAAGAAGCTCTTAAATGATAGTAGAGCTGTGGATTAGAAGACTTGAGTACTTTGGAAATTTGCTACTAAATTTATGAGAAGTTAAGTTTTATCCAGATCTGAAGATGATGGTACGATATATGTATAAAGCAGGGAAGATATTTAACATTTATATATGTGTGTGCGTGCATATACACACGCACGTACATATATGTGTGTATGTGTGTATCTACTTAGCAAGAGGAAGCACACAAAAAGTCTTTTGCTATCTAAGTTTCTTAAAATAACCTGAAAATTTGCATCCTAATGTAGATCCTATACAAGAGTTGGGAAGGTTCCTGACCTCCTGATGTTCTAAGGAAGAAACCATGTATAAAGCTGTACTAGCTTAAAAAATAGATAAATAAATAAGCAAGCCTTTGATGAAATTTTTACCCTAGCTGAAAAGCTCTGAGTTTCTAGAAAGCAAGTTAACATTGTCATCAAGTGTCTGTTTTAGCTGGAAAGAAATGCAGATAACAGAGCATGGGAGCTTAGGAAAAACTTGCATGTATACTATGAAGAAAGGGAAGGAAAAAAAGTGCGTGGGTGTTTGGCCTTTTTTAATTCCTGTGTTTGTAATTGTAGCTATTACTGTCTTTAGCTTGACATATTAGATATGACTTGTTTTGAACAGAAGCTCACTACTATTTAGATAAAATTTAAATGATGTACACTTTATAGGGAGGAAAGCATTTTAATAGATGAGCGTTGTTTTGTGAAATACTCCCACATTTTATAATCTTTATTACATTGTGACATCTGGAATCATTTGAAAGAAGAGCCCCATTCCTAGAACCTACTTTGTGCCCCTCTCGCTTTGAGCTGTCTGAAGCCTCTTGCTCTGTTCTGGTCACGCTGGCACCTTGGGCTTTCACCTGGCACTAAAACGTCTTTCTCCTCATTGGCCTGTGCTTTTCCTTTTTTAAAAGCAGTTTCTACTTAAAACTTCTCCTGTAAAGCATTCTCCACTGTCCTTGCATAGCTGTGTAATTGGTGGCTTATTGTTTGTTTATTTTACATAAGTCCCGTGTAGAGCACTGGTCAGCACAATTTAGTTAAATTTAGTAAATGCATGTCTTTGTAAGGTTGGAGACTGACTAAGTTATATTGGTTGGCTCTGCTGTTTCTCCTGTTTAGAAATTCAGCTTTCCTGCCCCTGCATGCTCCTGCGGTTTAGTTTTTGTTTTCTGTAATTTATTTGATTGGTCTTTGAGCTGCATGGGGAAGGATCAGGATAGAAATGCGACCAGAGAGGCTGTATCTCTGCATTTCTGTACTGTACTCAGAGGAGGAAACACGCAGGAGTGTCCTGAGTCTTTCTGCCTTTCGTGCCAGAAAGCCTACATCCCATAGAACTGAACAAGCTCGTACACTGCTTCATTTTCAACTAATCCAGAATTTTCAATAATTTACCTATGCCTTAAAGACGTTAAGATTTACAAGGATACCTTACTTCTTTCTGCCAACTTTTTTTTTTTTTTAATTTACTAGTTTTATTTCTGTTGGATGCCCAAACCCTTGAGCATAGCTTTCCTCTTTGCCTTTTGTAATGCAGCTTCAGAGCCCACTGCTCTCCAAACTTTGTCAAATATTGACAGCGCCCACACCAAAGTGAGCATTCTTATGTCCGTCTCTGTGAGCTCTGTGTTATTTGGCCCACATGACAGCCAGTTTCTTTGGTCTCAGTGATCCTGGTTTTCTCTTTTTTGCCTTCTGCTTCTATATCATACTTTCAGAATTCTTGGCCGGCGTCTCTGCTTCCTTGGGGGTCGTAGCGATCAGTTGTGGTTTTATCTCTATGCATTCCTGCTTGTTTCTTCAGCAACAGTCTGCGAGTTACTCTTGAGTCTTTACCCACAGTTCTGACTTTTTGTTTTTCTGTAGAATCTTCCATTTGATCATCTATTCTCCGCTGACACTTAGTCATCCCTATCCAGTCTTCTGTGTCTCTTCACACTGGTTCCTGACTGCTTTTGTCTTTCTTGCTGCTTGCTGGAAACTTAAGAGAACTCTTAGATGTTTCCCCTTCTCTTTATAACAAATCCTTCAAAAGACCCAGTCATTTCTTTGAAATACTCATTAGCTTTTGTCCTTCCTTTTTCATTCATGGCATTACAATCCATATCGTTAGTAATCTAGCTGGGATTTCGCTGTCTCCTAATTGATCATGTTATCTCTTGTCTCCAGCTTCTGCAAACTGTGTTGCATACTGCTGCTAAACAGTGACAAGGATCTGAAATGCTTCTGATCTCACACTACTTCTGCACAGCAGCCCACTGGCTTCCTTACGCAGTGTCTTAGTCTTTACTGCAGTCCTGCTGCTATTCAGTGATCTCTGTAACCAGTGATAGGAGTACCTGGGTGGTGCAAAGGTTGGAGCTTTGAGTCCACCCAGAGGCACCTCGGAAGAAAGGCCTGGCCATCTACTTCTGAAAAATCAGCCACTGGAAATCCTATGGAGCACAGTTCTACTCTGACACATGGGGTCACCATGAGGGGCTCTGATACTGGGAGAGGAGGAAGAAGGCTTCAGAGAAGACAAATGGAAAACTTTACCAAAGCAAGCTTTCCATATTTTGTTGTTTTCTAAGGCACGACCTGGCAGTGATATAAAAGAAGCTCTTGTACTTCTCTTTGATGTTACCTACTTGTAGGTCTCAGAGTTCAGACCAGAGGACACTAGAGTATTGTGGGGAATCCAGTTGCTGTATTAGAAAATGTATTCTGGGTTCGAAATAGCCAGCAGATGATTGTCGTTGGGAGCTGTCTGTATAAATAAACATATATTCTCTATTTTTCAGTAATTGGTCTGAGAGTTTCAGTTTTAATTCTTGTCGATTTATTTTTGATCAGGAAGAAATAAAGTCTAAAATAAGTTGATTAATGGAATTGCAGTATGAAAGTCATTACTTAGTAAGTTTTGTCTTTGCTTTCCTTTTTTTAAGCCTTAATTCCGGATACTCCAGAGATCTTGAACTTGTCTGCTGATTTTTCAACTTCTACGATACACATAAAGTGGAATGACAAGGGTTCTGTTTTTCCACACCACTCAGATGTCATCTGGCAAATTAAAATTCTACGTAAAAAGAAGATGGAAATTGTAACATTAGTAAGTTTGAACAAAACTAAGATTATGTTTTATGTGATGTTAAAGAAACTGAATCATTTTTTAAAAAGATTTTTAAGGTATTCTTAGTGAACTTGTGGATTATTAAGGAAGTAGATCAGATTTCCTTTCAGAGTTCATTACAAACCATATGCTGTGATTCAAAAATCACTTGTTAGTTGTTAAAATAATGTAGAACCACTGTAGGAAGTTTAGGAAATTAAGGGAGGAATAATCCATGAGTTCGCCACTTGAACACAGTAAGCGCTATTTTTGTGTATTTTCTTCAGCATTTTTTTATATGTATGTTTTTACAGAAATAAGTATCCTTTGGTGTACTATCTTTATCTTTGTTTAATAATTGTAAATGTAAAAATAAATGTTTTGAAACATATACCTATAGTAATTGTTGAGAAATTTTGTATATATAAGCTTGAATTTATCAGACTCTGAAAGAATGTTCTTATATTTAGTACGTACACTTTTTTCCCCTTAGTTTTGTAAATCCTGTTTAAAAATGGTTTCTTTAAGATCTTCTTTTGGTTTGCCCTTAGTGTAAGGAATAATGAGAAATAGCAATGTAAAGTTTGGACAGCTGGTACATGGTAATTCCCCCTTTATGCTTCCAGTATTTTCCTCCTTACTGGATTTGAAATATGCTTAGTTGCAGGTTTAAGAATTAGGGGACCATCTTATGATCTTCTAATTTATTTGCCTAGATACATAGATAAGATAGTGAAAATGAAAAATAGGATTTTGTATTTCATAGTTACTTCATTTTTTCCTTTTTTGACAACCTGTGTTTTTACACTCCTAAAACAAGTCATAATTGTAGTTAGTACATATCTAGTGCTTCCTGCCTTTCTCACACTGCTCTAAATGCCTTTATACATGTTCTTTTTTTAATAATTGATTTTTGTTGTTGTTTAGAATATACCCAGCAAAACGTACACCAATTCAACAGTTTCTATGTGTACAATTCAGTGATGCTGACTACATTCTTCAAGTTGGGCAGCCATTTTCGCTCTCCTTTTCTGAACTGTTCCTCCCCCATGAACATACTTACAAACTTACTGCCCCCTAAGTTTCGTGTCTAATCTTACAAGTTGCTGTTGTCAGTTTGATCCCATATAGATGGTTCTTAAAAGAGCACAATGCTAAAGGCAGACATTCTTTGCTAATTAAGCTAAACTGTTGTTTGATCTAAAGAAGACTTTAGGGATATTTTTGGTTTAAGGTTTAAAGATTATCTCAGGGCAGTAGTTTCCGGGATTCATCCGGCCTTCATGGCTCCAGAAAGTCTGGATTACATGAGAATTTGAAATTCTGTTCTGTGTTTTCCCTCTTTTAATCAGGAGTCTTCTGTAGAATCTTTAATCAAAATGTTCAGCAGTGGTAGCCGGGCACCATCCAGTTCTTCTGTTCTCCTGGCAAAGGGGGCAGTTGTTTGTGGAGGCAATCAACTGCACATTCCATATCCTCCTATTCCTGACTCTCCTTCTTCTTCTGTTGCTCCAGGTGAATAGAGACCAATGGTTGTACCTTGGATGCCCATTCTTGTTAATTCTTTTAATCCTCACAACAGTCTCATGAGGGAGGTACTGTTAATATCATCTTCATTTTACAGATGAAGATACAGAGTCACGGATACATTAAGTGGTGGAGCCAGGATTCGAACCCAGGCAGTTAGGTTCAAGTCTGTTTTTCATTTAAAATGCTCTCCTTTTCCTTTTCACCTATCCAAACTGAACCTGCATTTCAAGACCCATGTCAAATCCTACCCCTTATTTTAAAGCCCTTCCTTTTTACATCAGCCTCTTTTCTTGAATCCTTAAATAAAATACTCTTTTCTTAAATTCTAATGGCAATTCTTGTCTGTGAATCTCGTTTTACAGTTAGCTTGATGTAGCTGTATCATTGTTGTCCTAAAACTACTGCTTACTTAAAATTGTATTGCTTAACTTTTTTTTTTAATGGCATAATATTTTGCATTCTAGGGCTATCACTGACTGTGTTAGGGTGACTTCTTAAAACTTTTTTCCCATTTTTAAAGTGGTGATAATTCTTGCCCTAAGGTCCAAAAAGTAAATTATATGGTGATATCTGTGAAGCTGCTAAACAAGTATTAGTTCTTATTATTTCCTTTGGAGACTAGTTGACTTTTTTAAAAAAACTGAAAAACAAAAACAAAAACACTGCTGTCGAGTCAGTTCCAACTCATAGCGATCCTATAGGACAGAGTAGAACTGCCCCATAGCGTTTCCAAGGAGTGGCTGGTGGATTCAAAATGCTGATCTCTTGGTTAGCAGCCAAGCTCTTAACCACTTTGCCACTTAAGGATACTAGAATTAGAGGGATACTCTTTGAAGTTTGAGTGAAATAAAAGATAAAGGAATTATTCTAAGATCACATTACTCATTACCACAAAACCCATAACAAGTCAGCAATGGCAAGACAGTGATTCCGTACTTTCAGGAATATAATCATTGAAGAGCAATCTTTATAAGAGGAAATACAGTCAAAGTAAAGTAAAATAGAGAAAGAACTAATTAATTTAAAAAAGGAAATTCAGGAGGAAAAATGACCCAGGTCCATAGTAAAATTTGATATTTTTATTTATAATTATATGTTATTAACATCAGTATTTTAAGTGAGAGTTGTTTATCAGTCATTTTGCAGTAGTTTAAAGCTCTAGAATGCTATTCAGTAGTGTTTCATTTATAAGGTATTTGTCACTTCTGCCCACGGTCCCTGTGTACAGCCATGGAAGCTGTCCATTGCCTAGACCATGATGTGACTGATGCCCTGGGAATTACCAGGTATTGTGGCTCATAATTTTTCTCTGTGGAAACAATTGCTTTCAAATCTTCTATCTTACTCTTGTTACATGTTATTTCTTGATTTTGTTTTTGTAGTTTTGAGCAGTGTTTTATTAACTTCCCACAGTGGAAGGTGAGAATTTAGCTCTCTCTCACTCCCCCTGCTCCACCTCTAAGTGCGCGTACGCACATACACACATACAAACACACACACACACACTTTCTTTGTTTTCCTATCTTCTTCCAATATAACTATATAATTTTTGGTCAGCCAGTATTCATTGTTTGCATTATAGTTAAATAAACACTGTTTACTGCTGAGCTAAGTAGTATATACTACTACCTTTTTTATACAACTTCTTGTATTGTCTTTTTTTTCACTTAGTTTTATTTGTCTGTTTCACTAATTCAATTCTAAATTCTTTTTCCATGTTGTATGAATCACCTCTCAAAATGTTCACCAAACACAGAACGTATTTTATCAGTTTTGTCTTTGTTAATAAATCTGTCTGAGGGCCTTCTGACTTGCTTCCCAACCCTTTTAACATAAGAGCTCACGTAGATACTGACGGTATGTGTATAACACAGATTATGGGAAATAGCTGAGACCGCATGTGGCCAAGGTGTCATAGGGGCTCCAGCAGCCTCCACCCCTACTAACCACGCCTAGGATTGAGGTGAATACCTAGGTAAACCTATAACCCATTCAAGGCAAACCGCAGTGTCTTTCAGCACATTTTAGGCAGCTATGGTCCAGGGGGTCTCTGTCATTGTCTAGGGGATTCTTTTCACCTTTTTTCTTGTTTTCCTTATTTTCTGAATCCTGTGTTTTCCTCTTATTTCCTCATTTTGGTGGAAGCATATCTTCTAGCAGCTATTCCCTGTTGTGGATACCCTCTGCTATCTGTAACAGCTAGGTTGAAGATACATATTATTTTATTTTTAATTAGTTACCAACAAAAGTAAAAAAAAACTGTCAATTCCAAATATTGAGAAAGTCCAGAGCAATTGGAACTTTCATACTCTGCTGGTGGAGGTGTAGAACGCTGCCAGATGACTACATTAAGACACTGCATTTCTGAAGATCTCTGCATTCACACATGGTCACTAGTTGGTTTAGCTGGGTATAGAATCCTAGATTGGAAAAATTTCCCCTCAAAATTTTGAAGACATTGTTCCATTGTTTTTATTCTGAATCTGTCATCTTCTATTGTGCAGGACACTCATTGGTCTTTTTAAGTCTGGAAACTCCTGTCTGTCAGCTCTAGGAAATTTTATTTCTTTGATCTCCTTTTCTTAATTTTCTCCTGTTTTCATACAACTTCTGTTCTTTAGAAATTGGATCCCTCAGACTGGTCCTCTAATTGTCTTGTCTTTGCTATTTTCCATTAGTCTTTTGCTCTGTTCTCTGAGAAATTTTTCCTAAACTTTATCTTGTCATCCTGCTATTGAATTTCTGTTACTATATTTTTTAATTTACAAAACATCCCTTTTGCTCAGGTTTTTTTTTTTTAAATAGATCCTGTTTTTATTTCATGGATGCAATATATTATCTCTGAGGATAGGAATTTTGTTTTGTTTTCTTTTTGAAAAGTCTGTTTCTTCAAGGCTTTTTTTTTTGGTCTTTAACTTTCGTATTAGTTTTCTTTTGTTTTCTTTTTTCTCCTCCACGTTTTGGTGATCCTGGTTGCTGTTCATATTTAAGTGAGGGGCTCTTAAAAAATAAAAAATCTGGTTGGAACTTCTGTGTGCCTGTATTGGGCTTTGCTCACGGGGGGCTTCAATATAGGTTGATTAGGCTGGGCTGTCTAGTTGGTGAACCTGTAATGTTATTATCTTAGGTATTTTGTCTTTACCTGCTCATTTGCCTCAGAAGTTTGTTCAGACTCCTACCTGGAGAAAATGAGCTTGGCTACCAGTATCCTTGGAGCTGGTAGGGGAAAAGGTCAAGAGCGACTCAGCCTTCAGAATGTATAGGTTAGCATTCCCCCTGTTTTTGATGGTATTCCTCATTCTCAACTCTTCCTTACATTCTTCAGTCCAGAGATACTCTGTTTTACTTTTTCAGAGTATAAATTTCCGTTCTTCTGCCAGGCTAAAGAAGGGTAGCCTCTTGGTAGCATGGAGTATCAGAGGGGATCTGGATATCTCTAACATATCTTCAAAGAACTTTCAGTCTTCCTGTTTTGAGCCACACCTTCACCCTGCCCTTCCAGAGCAACCTGGTGTTGCCATTTCCTGAGCCTACTGGTGTTTCTGTGAGAAAATCAAGTTGTTTCCTGGCTTTCCTACTGGAAGCTT